AAGAGGGGGAGCGCCATAGTAGGAAGCCCAGGACGGGCGCAGCAGACGCCAGCAAGGGCATCACTTACGGGGTGCATAGACCCCAGCCCCAGGGTGGGGCGATTACTGAGGAGCCCGAGAGGGGCCATGCTGAGCCCTAGAGCGAGGCAATATTGCGGAGCCCGAGCGGGGCAATATTGAGGAAGCCCAGAACGGGCGTGGTGAACCCGGTAATAGGCCTGCACCGTAGGGAGACCCAGGACGGGGGCAGGGTGCCACGGTGGACCCCGACGGAAGGGATTAGTGGTACAGCGCCCAGGAGAAGGGCAAGGTGCTGCGGTTGTCCCCCGAAAAGGGGATAGCAGTGCGGTGAGCCCGTACCAGAGAGGGTATTAGTGCGGTGAGCCTAGAGGACCGGTGGACCGAAAGGACGTCCCCGAGGGGACTGCCCTATTGTAGAGAGAGCCCTCCTGACGGACCCCGCTGTGATATAAGGGTCAGATTGTGACCACGGCTGAGGCTAGCATAACAACATAAGAAGGAATAATGCTGATTTTTGCCAGGACTGCAACTTTTCATGGAAAGAAACTAGTCACAATAAAATGTTCCTCAGGAGCAGTTTCTTGGGCCCAGAATAGGCATTTCTAATCAGAGCTTTAAAAAAATAGAGAGAAAACTCCAAGAGGTGAGTTTGAGAGAGGCATGAACCAGGATAGCCAGGGGCCAAGGTGCTGTAAGGTGCTCTCCTAGGATGTAGGAGACCCAGGTTCCAGTCCCCGGTCCATAATCAGACCCCTGAATCCCTGATGAGGTTTCTAGCACCAAGCTATCTGGCATGTTGCAGCTCCCCTCTTCAGTCTGTTTGCGAGTTAAAGACCACAGTTTCCTCTTAATGGAGAATACGGACATATTTGCAGGATGGAAAAACTGTTTGCTGTCCAGGTCCAGTGACCATTCCAGTACGTGAGCCAAGCTCCCAGGCAAGCATATCGGGTTGAAATTTAGGCCAGCTTCCCAGTGATGCTCTTGCTGAGGCCCAATCTGTTTCATCAGCCTCCAGGAGAAACTGTCCTCTGCTTTGTGCAGGAGAAGTTATTATTAGTCTTAGACACTGCTCCCCTTTCTCTGCCATTTGTGTGTATCCTTGTGCAAAATTTGTTTGCAGCACTCATCCATTTTACTCCTTCAATATTTTGGAATCAATCACTACTAATTTATGACTGATCACAGGAACTATAATAATTAAGTTAAGCCAGAAATTGTTATTCAGCACTATCCAAGAGGTACTGCTTGATGGAAGTTTTGAATATTGCATGGAGTTATCAACGCAGCATGTGGACACCATGAAATTTGAAATCCATTGATCCCTTTGCAGCACCTCTGTCATGTCAATCCTTTATGCATTCCCCCGTACACAGGCTTAAATGAGCAGGACCAGAGAGCCTTGCATAGTTGTATGTCATCTCGCATTTTCAGGACACAGGGGAAAGAAAAAGCTTATTGAGTGACCCTGCGAGTGACCTGCTGAAATGCCAGCAGGAGAACCCTCTTGTGGGACACGCAAATCCAGTGACATCTAGCAAATAGCCCCGGTGAGAGGTAAAACACTGTCAGATGCAGCCTGTTATGGATACATTTTCCAAAAGCTCACTGCGACACGCACATCTCAGAGCTGTCTGAGGAAAGAGTCCATATGCCAAGGATTAGCTCCTGCCAAAGGAATATTTCGAATTTTCTAATATTATGCAATTGTTAAATTCTGGGATGCTTCAGATACTGCACTGGCCTCTTCCCAAATTCTCTTCTTTTGAACAACGGTGACAAAGGAAGCAAAAGATTTCTGGCATCACGCACTGAGCATGCCATGTCTGTTCAAATCATTAGGATAACTCAACTTAATGACCAATAAACTTCTGGAGACACTTAAGAGCAAAGCAGAATGTTTTCAAGTGTTCTGATAAAGGGACATGGTGGAAGGGAAATTTAGAAAGGGTTTTTGGGATCCCTCCTCCCATTTTTTTTAAGCCAACATATTGTTTGTTAGAAAATCCATAGCCCACACTGTTTATACTCTGTTCTACCATGAAGAGAGTACAGTAGTTTTACGCAGTATAGCTTTATTGACTTTGTGGGTTTATACCACTTAAGGAGAAAAAAGAATCGTAAGGGTCCCTTGAAGCCAGTTTTGTGTTTGAAGCCAGTGTGGGAAGCTGTAATTTAGAAGGAAGAGAGGATTTTGTAGTAACATATAACTGGGGAGAATCTCTGGTGCACTGTGACTGGTTTACAACAGTAAACTGGTGCAAAATAGGAGCAAACTTCACCAGCTAGTGAATGATGCTTTGTGTGTAGACAAATCCTCCTGTGATATACAGCTAACAGATCCCCAAGACGACAGACCAGGAGAACTCTATTCCACGGCAATCCCCAGCACTTCCTTGGCCATCTGCAGCCCTAAGTTTGCTCTACTTAATGCCAGCAATCAGTCCGT